CCCCCAAACCTCCCACAACACACACACAAATATGAAGTGAAAGTGTAAAACATACAATGGTTTAGGAAGAAAAGAAATAAAAATTTCTTTTAATATTATATAATATTCCTACAATATTCTCTCTGTCTCTCTCTTATATATAGTATCTCTGTCTCTCTCTTATATATAGTATGTAGTTTGCATGTGCATGTGTACTTTTATGAAGAATATTGGAAAAATGACACTGCATAGCCGTTGTAAAAATAATAGCCGAAAAAATATATTAAATTTGTATAATTTTCGTATATAAATGTATATATATACAAAAATTATACAAATTTTATACACTTTTTTAACTACCAAATATAAATAATTTCTGGCACGAGCTCAAAGTGATAATACTCTAAGAATATTTACCATAATAATTAAAATAAGTAATCTATTTCTTCTAAATGTTTGAGGGGGGAAAAACTAGACAAAGTAGTAAAGAGTGATATGAAAAATAAAAGGAGAAAGAGAAATGCCAAACTTGAATGAGACAAGGTGAAACTACCTAAGCTTATCAAAATTTTGTCTTCAAGTCCAGTTTGAAACTGTTTATTCTAAATTCGCCTCTAATTTTTTTATTTTTTTTAAGAATTGAACGAGAGGCGATAAAATTAATTTCTATCTAATTGATAATTACCTTAAAGTTGTGAACTCTCCATAACAATCAGCTTCTGAAATCTTTGTTAAAGGAATATGAAAAGCTTCTGACCAAGAAAATTGGTTAGGACAAGTAGCTGTTGAATTTCCCCATCTATAAGAATTATTTAAAATCCCACAATTAGCTTTCATTTGAAAAGGTGCCTTAAATAACTTCATTTGTTCTCTCCTCATTTTCCTGAGTAATTCAAGACTCACACCATGGTTCACAACTTGAAAAAAACCCCATTCAGATGAAGCCTTGGCTATGGCATTTTCGCAACTAATCTTTTGTCTCTCATCTTTACTTTTCAGACAGCTGAGATCTATCAGCGGAAGTTCACATTCTTCCATCATCAGTTTCGCGCTGAGGCTTGCCCCACCATTGTTAAGTCGTGAAAGCTTAGAGTAGTCATGTAAGAGAGGAGGATTCCAAGACTCTATCATCATTACTTTAGAAATATGTATAACTAAGTTTTGATCAAATTAAATTAATCGAGAAAAATAAGGAAGGAATAAGAAGAGTTGGGAGTTGGAACAAAGAGTACACATGGGGTATTTATATGGCTAAGTAGAGAGGAGGAAAAAGGAAGGAAAGTGTAGAAGGAGATAAGAGACAAAAAACCACAATGGGGAAAAAACAAGGGAAATTAAAACATCCTAATTCATGACAATTGTCACAATGAGAATGTATCTTCTTGAAATTGAGTTTTTTTTATCATATATGACTAATTCTTAGGCATCGAATAGAGAAAAAAAAGATGGACATATGGGGAAAAAATTTAGTTCATATGTTGAGATTTAACTTATGAGATATTAGGAAAACGAAGTTTCTAAGGCCACTTACATATTTGTTAGTCTTTGATCCGTTTGGCCATGGAAAATTTTTCACCTTTAGTGTTCGGCCATAAAATTTTTAATTTTCACTTGAAGATGAATTTTGAAATTTTTCAAAAATTTTAAAAACTCCAAAAATCTTTTTTTCAAAATTTTTTCATTCAGATCACTCGCAAAAATTCAAGAACAAACCAAAATTATATTCATGTCCAAACACAACTCTAATTTTCAAATACTATTTATACTTGATTTTATATTTTATATTTTTTAAATTTTTTCAGAATTTTACAATTCTTATGTCTAAATTAAACGCCCACTTTATATATTCACAAACCAAAATCCTAATTAAAATTTTGATAAACTCTCTTTTGCACGATAAAGTATTGCAGTGCCTAAATATATTCCCTAAAGAGGAACTCTTTAAATGAATTATTTCTCTATGTGGAAAAAGGAGAAAGAGAAGTGTCAGATTCCAAAGAATTTTCACCGCAACGAGGAAATATATATGGGTCCTTTTGGCCATAAAAAAATTCATTTTTTTTTACTTTTCCGAATCAGCGTTTGGAGATAAAATTTCAAATTTCACTTGAAGTTGAAATTCGGAATTTTTAGAACATTTAAAACTCCAAAAAAAAAATTTAAAATTTTCACTTTAAATCACTCATAAAAATTCAAAAAATAGCTCCAAATTATATTCATATCCAAACACAACTCTAATTTCACTAAAAAAAATTACATGCTTTTTTTCTCGAATTTCACAATTCTTATGTCCAAACGCCCACATATTAATGTAAATTTGTTACTAAGGACGAATATTGTCTAATCGTGGATTTTATTCAGAACTCAAACTCGAGACTCAATTAAGCGTGAAGGATCCCACCCAACCATTCTATCAAATCTTTCGGTCGTTATGTAACAATGTGAATGCAAGCTTTTTCATGAAATGCTATTTTGTTTACTTTGTGATTTGTATTCTTTTGGATGTTAAGAAACAAAAATTCTGGCATTTGATAAAATAAGTCAGTCACACGTACGGCTGAATATTAAAGTAGGAAAAAGTCAATTTCTAGTACGAAAATATATTTGCTTTTTTATTTCTTGACTCATACATATATAGTTTAGACAAGAAAGTCATCACCGAATCAGGAAAAGTTAAATTTTCTTTGTCGTAATTAAAATGTCTTGTTATAAGTCAAAGTTAAGTACTTAAGTTTAACATGCATTGTCCAGTAAAATCGTAAGACAAGATACTATTTTTTTAGCAATCTCATGAGCAGGCGACCATATTAAATTAAAAAGATTTATTTTGTGCATCAAAAGAATTTTCACTACTATGAAGTATAATAATGTAATTCCTTAGAACATATTCTAAGAAAGATAATTTACCTAATCTTTGACTTTGCTGATATTGATGGCATTTAGTTTGAATCGTTGATATTGAATTTGCATTTAGAAGGATCTGGATTCTGTCGTAAAAATAGCACGGCCATTTGTCGGATTGGTAATCGAAAAATAATTATTGTTTGTCAAGTCATTAAAAATAGCCATTGTTTTGCTGAAACACGAAAAGTTCCAGCATAATATGCAGGATTATGGAGCTCCTGCGTGTAAACTTCCAGTACATTTTGTTGGAACTCCAGCACACAGAAAGTTCCAGCATAATATGTGGGATTATGGAGCTCCTGCATATAAACTTCTAGCATATTATGATGGAACTCCAACACATTATAAAATTCGAGCATATTTTGATGGAGCTCACATATAAAATATTCGAACTCTAGCATATTATGCTGGAATATTTTTCGATTCTTAAGAGTGTTTTTATTCAAATTTTATCTTTACATGAAAAGTGGCTAAATTTCTATTATTTTTAAAATTGTAGCTATTTTTAATTTAGCAATTGTAAATACGGCTATTTCTGATTTTTACCCAATTCTGTCTGCTAATGGTTGTAAAGAAAAAAGGAAAAGAAACCCGACATAAATCAAGCGGTCTGATGAAATGATTGAGATCCATCCACTTTTAAAAAAAAAATCTTGGGTTTGAGTCCGAAAAATAAAAAACCTTTTGTCATATGGAGTATTTTACTTTTAGTGGATTTTCTCGGAGTGAACTCAAATTAGTTAGACCAGTGAATTTTTGAATACTGGATAGCTAAACCTAAGAAAAGAAAAACAAAGCAAAAGAAATATTTGCCAGGCTTTTTCATGTAGTGCAACTTTGTGCATTTTGTGTTTTGTATTCTTTTGAAGGTAGAACGAGAATTTTGGAGTTCGATGAAAAAGTCAGCCACACGTACTGCTGAATATTTTAAAGTAGAAAAATAGTTGATGTGACGATCCGGTCAGTCGTCTCATGAGTTACCGCTCTGTTTTCCCTATTTCTGCTTATGCTTCGTAATCCGTGTTTTGTGGTATCGGGGTTGGTCGGATCGAGTCCGGAATAATTTTGGTAAGGTTTAAGACACTTAGTCTCTTTTAAGAAAGTTTAAGTTGGAAAAGTCAACCGGATATTGACTTATGTGTTAGAGGGCTCGGATGTGAGTTCCGATGGTTCGATTAGCTTTGGGAGGTGATTTGGGACTTAGGAGCGTGATCGGAATGAGTTTTGGAGGTCCGGAGAAGATTTAGGCTTGAATTGGCGAAGTTGATATTTTGGCGATTTCCGGTTGGTAGGCGAGATTTTGATATATGGGTCGGAATAGAATTCTGAGAGTTGCAGTAGTTTCGTTGTGTTATTTGGGATGTGTGTACAAAATTTCAGGTCATTCGGACGTGGTTTGGTTGGGTTTTTGATCAAAAGCAGAATTTGAAAGATTTTAGAAACTTAGGCTTGAATCCGATGCGAATTTGGTGTTTTGATGTTGTTTTGAGCGTTTCGAAGGTTGGAACAAGTTTGAATGAGGGTATGGGATATGGTGGCATGTTTGGTTAAGGTCCCAAGGGCCTCAGGTGAGTTTCGGGTGGTCAATCGGACCATTTCATGTTTTGCAAAGTTGCAGAAAATTTCTGTTCAGTGCTGCAGGCATTTAGCCTTCGCGTTCGCGAGGCAGGTGACACGTTCGCGAAGGGCTGCGAGGTTGTGCATCGCGCTCGCGAGCGTGTAGTCGCATTCCGGACTAAGTGTCTCAAACCTTACAAAAATCATTCCGGACTCGATCCGACCAACCCGATACCACAAAACACGGATTACGAAGCATAAAGAAGCAGAAATGGGGGAAACAGAACGATAACTCATGAGATGACTGGCCGGGTCGTCACAGTCAATTTCTAATATGAAAATATATTTGCTTTTTTATTTCTTGATACGTACATAGTGGAGACAAGGATATCATCGCAGAATCAGGAAAAATTGAACATTTTTTTGGTCGTAATTCGAATGTGTTGTTATATAAATTCAAAGTTAAGTTGAACATTGTCTGGAGTAAAATTAAGGCAAGTTACTACTTACTACTCTTTCTAAATAAAATTTGTATATTTAAAACTAGACAAACAAAAAAACAAGCTTTGTTGTTAAAAAAAAAAGGAAAATAAATTTGATTGTTTTAAAACAAATTTGGAACCTTCAGCATAAGGACGACTGTGTATACATTAGAGATAAAATTATGTGCCGGATAGATTTACTAAGGAGGGTAATACGTTACCTATCAAAAAGTTTCTTATTCCGAAAACTCGAACATGATATATTATCTATTTTTGAACGAAGAAAACCATTTTAGCTATCACAATCCTTATTATTTTGGGGTGTAAACTCCAAAGCCTTTACAACTTGTTTGGATGGTTGGTAAATGGTTGTATTGTATTATTACTTTAAATATAATATTTGTTTTCATTGTTACTTAGATTTTATTGTATCATATTGTTAAAGTCGTCGCTATGTAACGACAAAAAAGTGACACGTTATGAAACAGACGATTTGATATGGTCACATCGTTACCTTATTTTTTCTCTAATCTTGCCCTTCCTTATTATTAAATAATCATATTTTGTCTTTTATCCTATCTTTTTACATAATAAATCTACTTCGTACCTTACTTTTTCTTTATAATATTGCACATTTATTCTTCATATTATTAGTGTATGACATTATGAAACGACGACAAATAATATATTTATCCGAACATTGCATAAATCAAAAGAATACAATACAATAAAATACAATATAATATAATACGATACGATACATAATAACCATCTAAACAAGTTATTAGCTGGCAATCGCGCGAAGCCAACAAGAGGGCAAAATGTGGTGAAACACAGCGAACAAGCAAGGCTCACTGCATAAGCGTGGCGTCCGTATGTGGCCGACGATGGAGGGCAAGACGTGGAATAAGAAAGGAATCTTTTGGAGCATGGCACATACATCAAAATATAGGAGCACCCAGCATACATCAAAAGAAAGGTTAGAAAGATTAGTAAAGAATGAAATTCTTCCGAATCTAAATTTTACTGATCTTACTATATGTTTGGATTGCATTAAGAGAAAGCAAACCAAGCATAGTGAGAAAGGTGCCACAAGAAGCACCCAGCTTCTTGAAATTATACACACCGATATTTGTGGGCTCTTTTATATTCCATCTTTTGGTGGAGAAAAATACTTTATCACTTTTATCG